GGGAGCGGCCACTGCACTCCAGTCTGGGTGACTGAGTGAGACTCCAACTCAAAAAAAAAAAAAAAAAAAAGAATTTCTTAGTTCAGAAGTAAAGAAACAGAAACCTATATACAAAGTGAAAAGTGAAATTATTTCTCTGTTTCCATTTATTTCATGGAAGAACACAAGCCAAAGCTTTTCCTTCAAGGAAAAAAACGTTACCAGGTGAAGGTAAAAATGAAGATGGTGTCTAAGTTATGGAAAACAGTATGAGCAAAGACACAATGCTTATCGACATCATTTGAGAGATAAGTTTAAAATTAAGTCTTGTTCTGAGTCAGGCAAAAGAAAAAAATAATTTTTAAAATCAATATGAATAAATTGAGTGGATAAAAGTAAGCTAGCCGGGCTCGGTGGCTCAGCCTGTAATCCTGCACCTTTGGGAGACTGAGGTGAGTGAATTGCCTGAGCCCGCGGGTTCAAGACCCGCCTGGGCAGGCGAGACCTCATCTCTACAATAAATCAAAAAGTTACCCGGGCGTGGTAGCGTGTGCCTGTAATTCCTGCTACTCGGAAGACTGAGGCGGAAGGATCGCCGGAGCCCAAGAGGTCGAGGCTGCGGTGGCCGGGAGCAGCCACTGCACTCCAGTCTGGGCGACAGAGTGAGACTCCAACTCAAAAAAAAAAAAAAAAAAAAAAAGAGTAAGCTAAGGATAGAGAGGAGAAGAAGGTTGTTTTTGATTATGAACTGTCTTTTTTTATCAATATTTTTTATTATGATATTGTGGGGTACAGTTAAGGATTAGATATACAAATACGCTTTGTTCAGGCAGTGAACTGTCTTAAGTAGTAGGCCTTAGGAGTTTTAATTTTATTCTGTTTACACTGAAATGTAATGTCATGTGAAATGTGTTTTTTTAGTGATCTAAAGGGTAAGGAGATTCTTCTATAATCTGACTGTAGAAGTATAAGTACTATAGTTTTATATAAGTAGTAAGTCATATGCTTCTATAGAAGTAGTAAGTCAGCCATGGCTTAGAAAAGGGTGCTGTTTTGTAGAATAAGAAAAGAAAATTGGTATTTGACAGATATTACTTAAAAGAATTGATGGGGCTTAGCAACTGGCTTGCTACAAAGGGCATGAAAGAGGGAGAGAGCAGTCATAAATGGATTTCAAGATTAGTTTTAAGACGTGAGAGATAAGAAGAATGTTGCAAATTTCTTTTTTTTTTTTTTTAAGTACTAATGTATGTGAAATATGTGAAGTCTAGCAGAGTCACTGACTTTTCAGGAGGAGGCTCTCATTAACTAGCTTTATTTTAGATGACAGAACAAGTAATTGCAAATACATAATATTGAAATAATAAATATATTATGGTTTGTCATTACCAATGTAGATTTTCTTTGTATCTTTTAAACACAGATGAATGTGGAAAATGCCACAAAAATCAACAGAGAAAAGACAGCATTTGAGCATCCAAGGTAGGAGTTGCCATCAGTCCTATCTGAAGAAAAACTAAACAAAATTGGGCAAATATTAGATAAAACAATTACTTACATAACTGTTAGATCATACATATATACAACAGAGGACAAGAGTAAGCTAAGGAGAAAAAAGTTTGTTTTGAATTATATAGTGTTTTAAGTTAGGTCTAAGGAGTTTAAACTTCATTCTGTAAGTATGGGCTAATATCATGTAATTTTTTTTCAGTGATTTAAAGGTTAAGGAGATTCTTAGTACAATTAGAAGTCAGGGCTTAGAAAAGGGTGATTGTTTCACAGAATAAGAATGGAAAATTCATATTTAATAGACTTTACTTACAAAATTGATGGTGCTTAGCAACTGGTTTACTAAAGGCTATAAATGAATAGGAAAGATGATTAGATTAATTTTTTGGGTAACTTGTAGATTCTGCAGACCACTAAAATTGGTTAAGAGATGTGAATTGCCACCTTATATTACTAAGTTGAAGCATTAATACAAATAGTGTCACAGACACATATTATAAATATACTGCTATTTCACAAAATAATGTTTTAATATTGCAGAGTGAGATGAAAATTATCTTAAAGGTTAGTTTTTAAACTGAATAAAGCATCTTTTTGAAAAACTTATTTGTAATGTTTTTAATTTTGACCTGAAGTGACACCACTGGATTTGATGATCATCTCTTGTTTCATTCAACTCTGTAAGAGTTTGAATTTGTGACTAGCATGGTTCTTTTTTTTTCCATTTTGTGAAGGATAATGAGCAATATAAAATAAAAAGGAGAAATAAGCAACCTCATTTCTGTGTTAACATAGTTTTGCTTCTTAAATATGATTTTTTATTTACTACATTTTTATAATCCTTTTTCTAGCACATATGACTCTGAATAGTTGTGTAGCAACATAAAAATGAATAGGCTTGATTAGAGAGAGACCATAAGCCATTTTTATAATCATCTTAGTTTTAGGTGATATTTGCTTCTCAAAGAATAAACTGTGACTCACTTAGCAGAAAAATGAATTCTCATGTACAGTTAATACAGGGAGTGTCTTCATAGAAATGAATGTCCCTCTGAGAGAGTAATTTTAAAGGGATACACCATCCAGGCAGCTGCTAGTCTCTAAGATCAGGATACCACTGAAACATCACTGAGTATGCGGTGAAGTCCAGATTATACTTCGTGGGAACTCAATATTAAAATGGGCTTGGATGCCGATGTAGACTGTCATTCAGATGCCTTCTGAGAAGGCTGGAGTCCATCAGATATGGGGCTTTTAAGTTTTCTGAGTGTGAATACAAATTCCAGGCCAGAGATGAATTTGCCTTGAGAAATGGTACTTCTTTCCCTTGTCAACTTACTGTTTCCTTATATGACTCAAAGAATTTCATAAGGAATCAAAAAATATAATTACTTTAGGGACCTGTATTAACTGTCTGACTCTGTACATTCCTGTATGGATGTTTCTCTCAGCTGCTTGAGACTGGCTAAATTTAGATAAGAGTGCCAAGGATATTAAATTGAAAAGAAATTTTGGAGGTCTGCTTTTCCTATTCTCAAGGATGGACAAAAACATCTTAGTCTGTTATAACAAAGAAGGAAGAAAACTTTGGTGGGGTTGGGCAGAGAGGGCCACAGCTGGTAGTTTCAACAGTTATATGTAGCTATTTATAAGCAATGAAGAGTGTCAATGAGGAGGAGGTATAAGAATTAGAAACTACAATGAACAATTGAATAGTAATTGCTTCCTGCTTTTAAAGGCCTTTATTGGGAAATGTTTAGGCCATGTATGGTGACTCACATGTGTAATCCCAGCACTTTGGCAGGCTCCGTTGAGAGAATTGTTTAAGACCAGGAGTTCAAAACCAGCCTGGGCAACATAGCGGGCTGCCCATCTCTAAAAAATAAAAATAATTATTAACTGTGTGTGATGGCACACCTGAAGTCCCAGCTGCTTGGGAGGCTGAGGCAGGAGGATCACTTGAGCCCAGAGGTTCAAGGCTGCAGTGAACTGTGATTACACTACTACACTCTAGCCTGGGTGACAGAGCTAGATGCTGTTAAAAAAAAAAAAATCTAAAATGCAAAATAGTTAAATTACAGTATTGAAAATATTTTTTAAATGTGGAGCATACCATCTTCAGCAGGAAAAGCATGTATATCCAAACCAAGGTAGTAAAACTGAGAAAATCTGTTAATAGTAAACTGCCAATAGAATGAGAAAATGTAAATCTTAAGAACTCTTCTCTTGAATTAAAAAAAAAAAAAAAAAAGTTTGAGGTTTTTTTTTTTTTGAGTTGGAGTCTCTGTTGCCCAGGCTGGAGTACAGTGGCATGATCACAGCTACTGCAGCCTCAACCTGCTGAATTCAGGTCATCCTTCCACCTCAGCCTTCCAAGTAGCTGGGATCACAGATTCACACCACCATACCCAGCTAATGTTTTAAAATTTTATTTTAGGAACAGGCTCAGTGGCTCAACCTGTAATCCCAGCACTTTGGGAGGCTGAGGCGAGAGGATTGCCTGAGCCCATGGGTTTGAGACCAGCCTGGGAAACTTGACGAGACCTCATCTCTATAATAAATAAAAAATTAGCCAGGCATGGTAGTGTGCACCTATAGTTCTGGATACTTGGAAGGCTGGAGCGGAAGGATCACTGGAGCCCAGCAGGTCAATGCTGGGTTGGCTGTGAGCGTGCCACTAATTCTAGTCTGGATGATGGAGTGAGACTCCAACTCAAAAAAAAAATTTATTTTAGAGACAAGGTCTCTCCATGTTGTATAGACTGGTCTTGACCTCCTGGGCTCAGGCAGTCTTCTCACCTCAGCCTCCCAAAGTGCTGGGATTACAGGTGTGAGCCACCATGCCCAGCTTGAATAAAAATTTGAAATATATGTTTCTTTTTAAATTTTGTGACATCTTATATTTAAAATCATTTGTTTATATATGTTGCACTTAATAGGAATACAGTATCTTATCCTAGAAGTGAAAACAAAATAGCATCAAGTTTATCCGATGATCTGAAGAGAAACTATGTTTCTCCAAAAGCGATTGAAATGCAAAGATCACTACCTTTAAAGAACCTAAAAGACACTTGCACATCAAAATCAGAAAGCAAAACAGGTTTGACTTATATTTCATCTGATACTTCAGAACACTTCACTGGACAACTGGGAAATTTAAATAACATGAAGGAAAAAAATGTGAATTGGAGTGCTGCTGAAACAAAAAGTGGTAACAAAGACTGTGCTGCTTTTGTAATTTGTGACCAAAAAAGTGTGGATGGCACATTTTCTACAAACCCTGAGACACCTTCTCAGAACTTTATTAAAAAATCCCTACATCCCATCCAGAAATCTTGTCTTTCAGGCACAGAACCAGGAATGAATACTTCTCTTGTGCCTCATGTATCATTGCCCTCAAAGTCTGTTTTCCATTTTGTGAGGGATAGACATACCAGTCTAGAAATGAATGACACCGTCTTTGAACTTCAAGATAGTGAAATAGTAAATTCATCTATTAAAAAGCCCACATGCATGACTTCTCCAAAACCCATTTTTGTCCAGAATGAAATTCCTGTTCTGCAAATAAATAAAACACAGCCTGCAAAAATGGAGTCAGAGGGGAAATATGTGACGGATACATTGAATCCCAACATTATACCTTGTGGAGGATCTGGGCACATAACCCTTAATGTGAATCAAACAGCTGAGTACTCTCTTTCTGAACAAGAGGATGATGAAAATTCCAAAGTCCCAACTCAGAATGCTGCCACATATTGGAATGAACTTCCACAGTCTGCATGTACCTCGGTGTATAATTCTTCTGAGCATTCATTTGGAGCTTCATATCCGTACTATGCTTGGTGTGTTTACCATTACAGTAGCAGCAATGGCCGTGCCTTGACCCAGACATACCAAGGGATAACATCATATGACGTACAGCCACCTCCCTCTGGGATGTTGACTACAGTTTCAAGTACTGTCCAGAGCACACATTCTAACCTCCTGTACTCTCAATATTTTAGTTACTTTGCTGGGGAGTCTCAAGCAAATGGTTTTGTGCCAATGAATAGGTATTTTCCGTCTCAAATGCCTGTTTCTTACAATTTTCAGCAGCCGATTTTTTCACAGTATGCTTTTCAGCAGCCATTTCCACAAGCTGCATACCCTTACCCTCCTAATTCAGGTGTGCTTCCAGAAGTCCCTTGGATTTATGGTAAGTTTCACAAGTTTTAATACTTGTTCATTACTGAGTTTTTGCTTTTAACTTTGTACATTTATGTAAACAGAATTCACAATAGGTGATGATAGTATAAATATATGTCTAGAGAACACAGAGTCATTTTTCTGTGCAGATTTGTAGAATTGTTCATAGATTGGGCAGAGATGGATTGTGTTGTGAGGTGGAAACCTAATTGTCAAAAATTAAAGAAAAGGAGCTGGCAGTGTCACTAATATGTCCTTCAGCAAAACCCAATTGTAGAGAATAGTTAAGTAAATTATAGTTAATTCACACAGTGAAACATGATGTAACCATTAAAGGGTTTATTTAAGTTTTTAATTGCATGACAGTTGTTAAAACTATATTAATGCACAGACATATTGAAATGAAATACACCAACATTTTAACTTGTCTATGTCCAAGTGGTAAAATTTGGAGTATTTTTCTGTATTTTCTAGATTTTCTACTGTGAAACATACGTAACTTTGATAATTTGAGGGAAAAAATAGAATGAAAAACCAAGGTGAAAAAAGAAACTTCAGTCAGATAATGCAATTTTTTCTTTACTCAGTCTTCTAATACATTATTCTGGTGCAAGTGAAGGGAGTTCAAGGAAATGTGTTGATAGAAGAACTTGGTAGTTTGACCCAGAACTTGAACATTTTTATTTGTTTTAAAAACACTTAATTCTGTTTGTTTAAATACCATGATTAGAATATAGTTGTCTTAATTAAATTTAAATGTGCATTTACCAGTTACAGCAAAATTTAAAAGCAGTTATTAATCCTACGAAAACAATTATATTAGCACCCAAATATTCTACCATCAGAGATAGAATGTACTTTTTTTTTTTTCCCCCTGAGTTGGAATCTCACTCTGTCGCCCAGACTGGAGTTCAGTGGCCGCTCCCGGCCACTGCAGCCTTGACCGGCTGGGCTCCGGTGATCCTTCCACCTCAGCCTTCCAAGTAGCCGGAATTACAGGCACACACTACCACGCCCGGCAAATTTTTTGATTTATTGTGGAGATGAGGTCTCGCCAAGTTGCCCAGGCGGGTCTCGAACCCGCGGGCTCAGGCAATCCACTCACTTCAGCCTCCCAAGGCGCGGGATTACAGGCTGAGCTACCAAGCCCGGCAAAATGTACTTTAAATAAAGATAATCATCTCCTAATATCTCATACAGAGAAGTGTAAGAGAATTTATTTTAAAGTGTTGTTTCCAAATCCTGAATACTCTTACAAATTATTAAGTAGAAAAAATTGAGAGACTATAGGTCTGAATTGAACAAGAAGCAGCCTATTGATATAGTCCTACTTCTTTTTATTTTATTTTATTTTTTTTTTTTTACTTTTTCTTTTTCTTTTTTTGGGGGGGTTGGAGTCTCACTCCGTTGCCCAGGCTGGAGTGTGGTGGCCGCTGCCGGCCACCGCACCCTCGACCTGCTGGGCTCCAGCGATCCTTCCGCCTCAACCTTCCAAGTGGCTGTAACTACAGGCACACGGTCCTACTTCTAATTAAGAAATCTGATCACATCACCACCCCTGCATTGGAGTTATTGCTGATTCACCATAGTCTCTAGGATAAACCTCAAATACTTTATCCTGGAATGCAGAACCCTTCACAGTCCTGTATATCACTTCCACCTCGAACTTCCTACTCTTCTCTCATATGACTGTCTCTCTCGTACTTTTATATTTCCTTTTGTGTGCTTTTCTCACATAAGTCATGTGAGTATTCGATGGTATTGTAATAATCTCTGTGTCTTTCCCTTCCTTCCTTGCTTCACTAAATGAGTTTACACAGGACTAGAAATTTTTCACCTTAGATAGAACCTGAGAAAAACTGTAAAGGAGGGAAGAAAGTGCTTTTTCCTTTTTGATTAATTTCATACCATGCTTGATGCCATGTGCAGATTTGTGAACACCAAGCTTAATAGGTGGGGGCAAACCTATGAATTAGACACCTTAATTTCTGACATGGGAAATCTTGGTTGTAATTGTGTCTTAAGGGTTCTCATAGTTTTGACTTTGTTTTCTTAATAGTTAAGCTATCTTTGACGTAAAAATGGTAGCTCTGGAATCAAAAATCTCAATTGTTACCTCCTTCGTTATATTAGTCCAATGAAAAGAAAAACAATCATTTTTATGTGTCGTACTAAAAAGTCACTCTAAAAAAAATTAGGAAGCAGTTGCAGTGTTTTAAGCGCATGTTTGAGTTTTCATGAGTGCGAATAATCCATAAAGATTGCCTCTCACACTCACAGGAACTACATCCTTCAAAATATGTGATAATTCCTTTGACCCATTTATCACTGTTTTGCTCATGGTTCTTATATTCAACCCAGCAAATGGAACTAAAGGAAGGTGCTTAAGTGAGTCCTGTGTTCCACACATATTATGCCCTTTATTACATTTAATTTTCACAGAATACCTGAGAGAGATGTCCTTTTTACAGATGAGGAAACTACACCCCAAAGAGGTTAAATAACTTTCTCAGAGTCCTGTGGCTACTAAAGGACAGATGTGCACCTTGAGCTCTTTGACTGTAACTTAAACTCGGGTTCTTTCTACTATACTGTTAGGTAACATTAACTACTTCAATAACTTACCTAAATTTTTATGTGTTTTTTTCTTCTAGCTCCATGGCAGCAAGAATCTTTTCAGCCAAGGCACTGAAAATAGTCTGTCTACTGAAATAAAGGAGATATAACAAGTTTTTCCAAGTATTTTTTACTTACATTTTTAAAATTTTAGCATTTAACAGTTTTAACTGTGTAAATGTTATAGGAAATGTAAATAATGTAGTCTTTTATAAAATGTATAAATGCAACAGTAAGTTGGGTGTGGTGGCTTGCACCTGTAATCCTAGCATTTGGGGAGACCAGGGCGGGAGGATTGCTTGAGCCCAGGAGTTCAAGACCAGCCTTGCAATGAGACCTTGTGTCTACAAAACATCAAAACAGTAGCTGGGCATGGTAATGCACACTTGTAGTCCCAGCTACTTGAGATGGAAGGGTCACCTGAACCCAGGAGGTAGAGGCTGCAGTGAGCTGTATTCATGCCACTGTACTCCACCCTGGGTGACAGAGTGAAACTCTGACTCAAGAAAAAAAAAATGTATAAATGCAGCAATATATCTTATAAGGTAATAGAAAATCAATTTATAACATCTGAAATACCAAAATTGCTTTCTTACATTATAAGGGAAGTCTGTACAATATTTAATATGATTACAGTTAAGCAGTAATGGTAAAATCTTTAAAACTAGGTTATGGTTTTTGATATTTTTTTAAGCAATCCGTTTTTTTCATTCTTAAATTCTTGACATTACAGAACTAAATTGAAATTTATTAACATTCCACCCTTGCATTTCTTGTCGACAAACAAAATTCATGAGCCAAAAAACCTAAAAGAAAACTAAAAACAGGGAAAAGCATATAAAACTAAATATGGATCCTAGCATTAACAGCTGAACAGAGAATGTGATTTTTAAATTCTTAGCAGATGATAAAGTTGTGTAGAAACTGAACACTTACAAAATATTTTGAATATTTTTAGGGTGTTATGCCATTTGAGCTGAAAGTAGAACTTTTTTTTTTTTTTTGCTTAGTCATCAGGCCAGTAATTTTATAATTCTTAACACTTTGTTCATATTTTAATTCTATGCCTGACATGACAAATGCCCTTAATTTCAATCTTACAATTTTTACTTATAAAAATTTTTTAATAGAAAATTTGACTTAAATATTTTCAGTGTTTCCTTGAGTAGAGATTTTTTAGAATTTTATGTTGGAAGCAATTGCAGCTTGTTATATTGGAATTGAAGCACTTCTAATGCCTCTTCCTGTAATAGTCATTTCCACAAGATTATGACTTTTGTATTTGTATTTCACAATTTAAGTGGTTCTTTTAATGATTTTGTAGCACATAGTAGAGAACAGTGTCTATGTGTTAATTTAGGCTTATTGCAGTAACTTAAATAATGTAGCACAAATGCCTCTGGTCGTACATTGTTTTCCGGTGTTTTGAAAAAGTGAAAAGTCACTTCAGTAATCATCATAGAACAACAGGATGTAATACATAACTATAGTCTTGAGCAGCATCTCTGCTTATACATTGACTTCCTTGCTCAACATCTATTCCTGATTTCTGTAAGATCCCAGTCAGACAAAACCCTCACAGCTTTATAGACCTTTCTTAAGTGTCAAAACTGTGACTAGATTTGCTTTGACTGAATCTACACAGATAGCTAACAAAGCTTCAATATTTTCTCAAACGTTGTGTGTAAGCAAACCTTTTATGTTATCTGGCACAGGCCTCCAAAGAAAGTATAATTCTGCTTTGTTTAGTGTATAGTTAACTAATTTCTCAATTTAAAAAGACATTGAAAACTCTCAAGATTATCCTCTTTATAGTCACATTCACTAAATAGGATGGAATTCAGAAAACTTAGACTTCTTCTTTAACATACATATCTTTAAAAACGGAAGGCCAGGTACGGTGGCTCACACCTGTAATACCAGCACTTTGGGAGGCTAAAGCAGGAAGGGTGCTTGAGTGTAGGAATTTGAGACCAGCCTGGGCAACACAGTGAAACCTCATCTCCACTGAAAATCAAAAAATTAGTCAAGTGTGGTGGCATATGCCTATAGTCCCAGTTACTCAGTAGGCTAAGGTAGGAGGATCACCTAAGCCCAGGAGTGAGACTACAGTGAGCCATGATAGTACTACTGCACTTCAACCTGGGTGATATTAAAATAACATTTATATTTTGTTCATGTAGTTGTTTTGTTTGAAAATAGTCTACGAGACTCAGAACTTCTAAATAGGTATTAAAGCAGTAATATTAACTTGTATTCAAAAATGAATAACAGAAAAATGTTTGCCTCAGTCATTTGATTTATGTTTGGTTATGGAAAGATGTCACCAAGTTTATTATTAAAAACATTTCTATTAGGTAAACCAAAAGTTAAATATTCTAGTTTGAGACTCTTTAAACTACTTTCAAATTCTGTTGACATTGTCTTTGTGATATTTTTGTTTCATGGGTTTCAGCTTACTTTTAAAATCTTATCTATATCCAGTTATGTTTAAAAATCTGCATTTTGACAGAATATGAAAAAATGGAATATTTTCCCCTCAAGTCTGTGTTTTAATTTTAAAAATTAAAATAGAACAAATTAAAATTGAACAAATATTTTATAAGCAAGAAAGCCTGTTTGTTTATAAATATTATTGTTTTGGAACTTAAGAGAATTAACCTGAGTAAACTGGATTCCTTCTAATTTTATAGGCTTCATTTCTTTTGTGTTTCTTGTATAATGAACATAAACAGGGATGAACCTTGCCTTATACATACCCATTACATTAAAAACAGTCCACAAAGAACTGACTTGATTGGTGTCTTTGTTTTGATTGCTATAACAGAATACCACAGATGGAGTAATTTCTAGAAATGTATTTGGCTCACAGTTCTGGTGACTGAGAAGTCCAAAATCAAGGGGCTGCATCTGATGAGGGCATAACATAGCAAGGGAACACATGTAAGAGAGCAAAAAATCCAACTCATCTTTCATAAGGATGCCACTGTGGTAGTAACGAACCCATCTCCAGTGTCACAGCATGAATCCATTCCTGAGAGCAGAACCCTCATGGCCTAATCACCTGTTCAGCGTCCCTCCTCTCAACGCTGCTGCACTGGGGATTACTTTTCCAACATAAGAACTTTGGGGGACACATTCCAACCACAGCAATTAGATTAAATAAATAAACTGCTGGAGCTCCTTTTCCACTACAGCTGCTTTTGCATTCACCTCCATCTTGCCTTTCCCTTTTACAAACTTTATTACTGTTAAGAGTTTCATATGACAGGCCAGAGTCGTTGCTGTCATACAATTCTCATTCCAGTCAAGCAAGACAATTAATAAACATGAAAACAATTTCACGTTATGAGAAGTGATATGTTAAAAAAAGGAAAATAAAGTAATGGAATAGAGAATGAATGATACATGAGCTGAGATGTTCAGGGAAGACCTCTTTGAGGAGGAAGGTCATCATCAGTGAATCTGGTGAAATAGGAGGCTCTGTCCCATTTTCATAGTAAGAAGATTCCTCCAAAACTGTATTTTGTCAAATTTACATAATCTTTAGGAATATAGGTGAAATGATAAATTCCAATTGTATGTTACACAAGAACATTTCTTAAATGTTTTATGCTCATATTTTGTAGAACAGTTTTATTTAGTGTCCTCTCATGCACCTTTTTACATCAATATCTTGGTCATCGTTAGAGCCTATTTGAGCCCTCTAATAGTGTTTTTCAAAAGTATGTCATCCTCACTTCTAAGTTGTTTGAGATGTGTGCTTTGCTATCTTCTCCAAAGACATTACTTACAGTAATGACTTAAGGCTTCAAAATAAGATTAAGTCCCATACCCTTTACAATGGGGTAATTTTAGAAGACAAAATAACATATTCAAGCATATATAGTATTTTAAAGCTGTTAAATCATCTTACAGACAATAGTTTGTTTTATATTCATACAATATTGATATTGCTTGAATAACACGGTAAACTTCCAATTATCCATGCAGTTTTGGAAAGAATTTTAGAGAAAAAAAAGTTTCATGTATGTATGGTATAGTTCAAGTAAAAGATTTGTAAAAGTTATCAAAAGAAAAAATAAAACAAAATGTTAATTTACTTTAGGTCATTTTTTAAAAATAAAAATTGTGTGATATTTTGATATATTAATACAAAAAAGGAAAATTAACTTATTCCTGTAAGATTAGCATTCTAAAATTAGTTTTGATTAATACATTTCTAGGAGCAATAATTGCAGGTTCCTAGTTAGCAATTGCTGATTAAAAGAAACTGGGAAATTAAGAGGTTGTTGATTACTAATGCAATGTGGGCAGGAAAACTATAAAGTGTATAAATTCTGCTCATTTCTTGTTCTGTAAGCTCTGCTGTCTGTCTTTATATTACTTTCAAGAAGTAATTTATTCTGTAATTCATAAGAAGTATTCTTTGAAATATGCTGTGGAACTATTGATCTCAAAATACTGTATTCTAATTTGTTGTCAGTGGGAAGCAGCATTTATCTTCAGATTTGTAACTCCTTTTTTTTTTTGAGCAGGATTTATTGAGAGGACAGAAAAGCTCCCACAGTGGGAGGGGACCCGAGGGGGTTGCCTGTAACTCCTTTTAAAGTCTATTTTCCAGGAGTAAAGAAGAAAAAAAGAAAGAACAAACCTTTGCCTTTTCTCACCCAGTACAAAAAATTACATTGAAATATAATCAGTACCGTCAATAAAAGATGACACTTTAAAACTTCCCCCCAAAAAAGTTTATATTCTTTAATTAAGTGAGGCTAATTTAGGGCTATTCATCTCATATTTTAAATGTGAATGAGTATATGTCGAGACTATGATCTAGTCAGTTGAGTATGTTTGGTTAATTAAAGACTACATTAAGTCAGCAATTGTTGAACATCTGACGTGCTAAAAGTATGCTATTCTATTTATGTGTGTGTATCAATCTTTATGGCAACCCTGTAAAAGGAGCATTTTTTATTTTACAAAATCACTTATACAGAAGGCTCTTCAAGATATTTTTGCCCCTCAAGTCATCTTTGTGAACATCAGTTAATAATTTTCAGTATCATTGGTTTGAAAAGAACATGAGATCAAATTTAAAT